GGTCGGGATTTCCTGTCCTGACCAGGGCCTTGCAGCCCTGCTCCTTTGGGGTGTTTTCATAGACCGTGGCAGAAGTGCCCTTGATGCTCTCTAGCGCTCTTTGTGTGCGTGTCTGGAGCTCGTTAATGCAAGATAGGAAAAAGGAGGGAACCCTTTATATGTCCTAAAGACTGTAGAGATTACATTTGCTTATCTCCCATCCTTATCTAGGGTTGCCAAGTCAGAAGCGGCGCTGGAGTGGGGGACTCCAGCGCTGCTTTGGGAGTGTGCGCGCGTGTGTGCGAAGCGCGCGCACCACAACCCCGTCACCCAGAAGTGACGCGACCACTCCGGGCATGCTGGGGGCGGGACCACGACCATCCGAGGGAAAACCATAGAGTTTCGAGGGAAAACCATAGGGTGACGTGCACGTCACGTGCTTTGGGGCTCCCCCAGGGCCCGATCCGCCAGCGGTGGGGAACAGGCCTCTGGGGCGGGGGTTTCCCCGCCCCCCGGGGGGACTTGGCAAGCCTACTCCCATCTCAATATCTGAAGCTTTGAAGCTACAAGCAGCTTGCTATGTTACAGAGATAGAAGTGCCATCTTTTTCTAGGCCTCAGCCTGACCCATTGTTTGGAATTTGAACAAGAAACTGCTTAAAGAGACCAGTTTCTTGAAAGAACATGCCCAGAATTTCAGCAAATTATAGAAGAGGGCCGATGTTCTTGGATCAGACACTTGAGAAGTGCTCTTACTTGAGGCTTGATCATCCATTTTTCAGCTCTTTGTCCTGATTTAGGATCGTAAACATAAGCAGAGTAGATTGGGATGTGTTTGGTCTTGTTGTACGTGGTGGCAAAGAAATACTTGTTCTCGTATCTACCACACTTGGGACAATTAGAAAGGGCATGCATGAAAATGCCGTTCACGAAAGCGCGATGGACGGAATTGTTCCGTTTGTACTCCAGAAATATTGCAGGGGATTCTTGACATGTTTGTTGATCTTCACAAAAACTACCAGGGCAAGTTTTAGAGTATGCGTTTATGGTTTGACGTGGCATGAAGGTGTCAGAATTACAACAGTGGCCCTGAGGCCTTCCCATGCATACATGAGGAGAGGTTGAGGGTAACCTGGATAAAAAAAACCCAGATTCTGGTAAATTCCTGATCTAAAATATTTTTCTTACCATCAACGAGAACATTCCAGGCTGATTTTTTTTTTTAAATGCCTAGCCAGCAACTGAACCTTTAGCAGGTATCTTTGCCCAACACTGCAGCCCCCGTAATAGGGTGTGACTTGCATCATTGTCAAAGCCGGCGTTGTCCTACTCCATAGTGGGGCAATTTCCAGGGCTTCCGGCAGGGCCCATTGCTGCTGTCCCCTGCCTGACCCTCCCCTAGGGTTGCCAACCCCCCCCCCAGTTTGCCCATCTCTCTCCCTTTAAGTGTGTGGAACCCGTGTTTCCTCCCAAGCCAGATCTCCGCAAGCTTGCAGGGAAATGCCAGCTTTGTGCTCTTAAAAGGGAAACGTGGCTGCTCTTAAAGGGGAAACGCCGGCTCCTGCATTTAAAAGGGAAACGCCGGCTCCTTTAAGTGCAGGGAACTGCCGTTTCTGGAGATCTGGTGCACGGACGGGGGGGCGGGGCGGCGGAATGTCGGGGATGCCCCCACCCCCTCCAGGAACGCCCCCAAAGTCCCCCGCTGGGGGTGGAAGATGGACTTGGCAACCCTCCCCTCCCCACCGCCCATGCACACTCCCGCCCACCCTCTGGCAAGCCTTCCTGCAACCCATGTTCTCTGCTGCGCATGGTGCACAGCACTGTCACCGCAAAGGCACATTATGTGATGCATGTGGCTAGACGTGCTTACGCGCGAGTGAGCCGGTGGGGAAAGATGCCCAGAAGGGTAGCTGGGGAGGGACATGTGGATAGGGTTGCCAACCTCCAGGAGGTGCCAGGGGATCTCCCAGAATTTCAACTGATCTCCAGGCAACAGAGAGCAGTTCTCCCAGAGAAAATGGCTGCTTTGGAAGGTCAGCTCTATGGCATTCTACCCCACTGAGGTCCGTCCTCTCCCCAAACCCCGCCCACCTGAGGCTACGCCACAACATCTCCCGGAATTTTCAAAACTCAAGTTGGCAGCCCTACTTGCGGATGGCTCAGGGGGAAGAGGACACGCTGCTGAGCATAGGTTAGGGCCTGAGCCGTCTCTGGCTCGGGCTGCCAGGCAGTTTTCTTGCCCCAAGCGCCCCAAAATCTGGAGCCACCGACCCTTGTCTTTGTTAATCCTGCCCCGGCCTCCAGAACGTCCATCTCACAGCGCAAGAAAGAAAAGTCTCTTTTATTTGTGCTTCTTCTTTTTTCCACGCACATGGTAGCAACCTACACTGTTGCCCCTGTTGTCCCACAGACTTTGAATGTGCAGGAATGGGGCGAGATAGGAGACTGGGGGAAGAAGAGAGCGTCATATTTTCCTGCATTTAACTGAACAGTGGAGACATCTAGTGGCCAAGACCTGGAAACATAAAACCCTTTAACCAATATTTGTTTCTCTGTTAAGGCAGGGTTTTAAAAACACCTCTCTAGCCACCCACCCACCCATCCTGTGCCTGCTGTACTTTGAATGCCTGTGTGAATGCATTCTAGGTGTCTGTAGAAAGATCTTTGTTTTCCTCTTGAGCAAGGCGAACACGTCTCTCCCTTGTCAGTAGTCAAGTCCATCTCCGACTTGCTCTGTTTATTTTTATCACCACCGGCCAAAGGCCATTGCCGAGAGCAAAATTTCCCCAAATGCTACATAATTAAAAAGGAATCAATGGCTATCAGATTTGCAAATGTTTGTGTCAGTCATTTGAGAGCCAGGCTCGGGGATAAGATGAGGTTCCTCTCCCAGAGAGGAAAGATAAAATAGCTCATTAAAACAGAAATGCTCCAAAAGGGGTTCTGGTGACAGAAGACGAGCGTTCCAAATGAACTCTGCGAAGGGGGGGGGGGTTGGCGACATCCTAGGGACAAAAGGCTTAAGCCCGTTTCACGTGTAGGGTTGCCAGCGCTGGTTTGAAAAATATCTGGAGATCTGAGGGTGGAGCTTGGGAGAGAAGAGTTTAGGGAGGGACCTCAGTAGAGCATAATGCCATGCAGTCCAGCTCCCAAAGCAGCCCTTTTTCCCAGGAGAAATGGAATGGATGTTTTAAATAAACAAATAAAGAGATCTGTGTAGCCTGGAAATCAGTTGTAATTGCAATAGAATGACTATACCCAGGGGTCGTTTCGTAGAAAAAGAGCTAGGGGAACTCATTAGCATAACTCATTAGCATATGCCACACCCCCTGACATCACCGGAAGTGATGTCATAAGGCCACGCCCCCTGACATCACCGGAAGTGTGTCATAAGGCCACACTCCCCGCCCCCAACGGTCCCGGCCGCCGCTGCCCGCCTTGCAGCTCCACTGTCGAGCCCCATGAGGGGCCCGGCGGTGGACCTGCAAGGCCGGCAGGAGTGCAAGGAACCCCCGCGAAGGCCCTCCCTGGCCCCAGGCGGGCAGGGGTGGGGAGAGGCAGGGAGGAAGCAACTTACCCTCCCTCTTCTCCTTCCTCCTCCTGGCTGAATGGGGGCCGGAAGCGGGGCGGCCGGAAGCAGGGGGTGGGACTTCGTCATGTGCCCCGCCCCCCATACCTCGCCCGGGGGAACTGCGATCCCCCGCGATCCCCACCGAAATG